ATATATATATATATATATATATATATATATATATATATATATATATATATATATATATATATATATATATATATATATATATATATATATATATATATATATATATATATATATATATATATATATATATATATATATATATATATATATATATATATATATATATATATATATATATATATATATATATATATATATATTTCTGATTGGCTGATAGTCGTGAGCCATTGAAGTATTATCAGCACTCATTCAGCCTCTTCACCATTGTGTATTACTGTGCCATCATAGTGACAGCAGATCAATAAACTCACTATAGTTTGACAAATATTGCAGCTGTTGGACAACATAATGTACATTTGAATTTTTTTTTTAGTTGTGAATGTTGTTGTTTAGATTGCAATTATGCAGTTTATTTAGAAGGATAGTGCCTATTTTAAATATTCCTAATGTCGAAGATACAACGCAATGGCGGCCATCAGCCTGTCATACTGGGCAAAGCAAAGATATTTGAGGCTTCGCCACAAGAGGGTGACAGAGATCGAATATTAAGTCCTTGGGAGAAAAACAGCATTTTTTCAGCATACAAAACAAGCTGCAGCTAATCAAATCATTATAAATCAGGTAAGTGACATTCTAAGTTGATCTCTCTCTTTTGGATGTTGTAGTGCTATATTTATACCACGATAATCTGGTAATGTTTGCTTTGCTCTGGCTTTTTCGGGGTTAATTATTGTGATCTACTGACTGCATAAGAGAAATACTGGAAAATCTCTGTAGACTGATGGCATTTCATGCCGTTCATCCTTATAATCTAAAAATGTGAGCAAAATCACCTGTTTTGTCAGCACTTTAGATTTTATGCTAGAGAATCATCCAAACACTAGCTCTAAGTGCTGTTTGTGAATTAGCAATGATTTCTGCTGTTCTGACGCAGCTGCAGATGTGCATGAATGGCGTAAGAAAGTAGTTCCTCTTAAAAAAAAGTTTTTGAGACTCTTGTGTTTGATTTTCTTTTATATTTTTTATTTAAACTATAAAGTGTAGATATACATTTTTTAAATTATATAAATTTTTATATTTTTTAAATTTGCATTTGATTTTTCATCATGGCAAATATATAGTTTATTAGTAAAATAATAAAAAAAAATAAAAGAAATTATAAGCAAAATAAAAAAATCATCAATCAAATGTTAATGAACAAAAAATATTATTATTAAAGCAAATATTAAAATATTGGAAATCACTAAAATATTTTGTCTCAGTATCTATTATTAATGGAAATTGCACAAGTAATGTTTAACAAAGCAAGGACATTTTGGACATTATATTTAATTATATTATACTATATTATATTATATTATATTATATTATATTATATTATATTATATAGCTATTAAATTAGTTAATTTCTTTCAGTTTGGCTGGAATTTTTAAGGTCAATATTATTAGACTCCTTGAGAAATGCATTTTTACAATTGGCTACAAAACAAACCACTGCTGTCCAATGACTGTCCTCAATAACCAATTTACCCTAGTTAAGCATGAATTTGCACTTTAAGCTGAATACTAGTGTCTTGCAAAATAACCAGTAAAATATTATGTACTGTCACCAAGGCAAAAAAATAAAACAACATATATTACAAATTAGTTATTAAAACTATTATATTTAAGTACACAAAAAAAACTCTCCATTAAACAACACTTCTCCTGTATGACACAAAAAACAAACAGGTTGTTCTGGCAGGTTTTTACCTGGCCTGAATCAGGCAGCCTTTCCCAGTGATGTTGGCGTCAGCAGGCAAGTCGATGGTTGTGAAGAGCACATCGGGAACTTTAGAGCGGCGACAACTGTAGCAGTAGGTGAGCTGAGCTGGAAACGGTATATTCAACTCATCGTATGGTATGTGGCAAAACCCACATCCTGGCGGCACCACCTCCTCAAATCTTACACAAATACACACTGAAATTAGTACACATACAACAATTGCACCAGGACACACACTCAGACGCAAGCTCACGTAAAGTTGAAGTCAGAATGATTCGCCTTCTTGAGAATTGTTTTTTTCTTTTTAAAATATTTCCCAAATGATGTTTAACAGAGCAAGACATTTTTCACAGTATTTCCTATAATATTCTTTCTTCTGGAGAAAATCTTGTTTGTTTTGTTGCGGCTAGAATAAAAGCAGTTTTTAATTGTTTTAAAACCATTTTAAGGTCATAATTATTAGTGCTCCTAAGCAATATTTGGTTTTGATCGTCAACAGAACAAACCAAACCACTGCTTAATGACTTTCCTAATTACCCTAACTCACCTAATTAACCTAGTTAAGCTTTTATATGTCACTTTAAGCTGAATACTAGTATCTTAAAAAAAACATCTAGTTCAATGCCATGTACTGTCATCATGGCAAAGATAAAATAAATACGTTATTAGAAATGAGTTATTAAAACTATTATGTTTAGAAATGTGCTTTCCGTTAAACAGAAATTAGGGGAAAATATACAGCAGGGCCAATAAGTGAGGAGGACTCATATTCTGACTTCAAGTCTATGCTATAACAGACTTATACAAATCTGCAATATAACACACACACACACACACACACACACACACATATATGTATGCAGAGACGATGTTTGAGTGCTTTTGTTATGAAGTCCCTAAGACTTAATTTGGTTAGTATCTGTAATGAACCACCTACAGCAAACACACACAAACACACACGCACATACACTTACACAAACACACCAATTTAATTAGTATTGTTTAGTATTGAGTTTAAAAAGGAAAAGTTTAGCCAAAAGGATGATGAAAATTAAAGTATGGTTTATTTACACATGTTGTTTCAAACCTGTTTGACTTTTAATGTTGTCAAATAATATATATATATATATATATATATATGGGACAATGAGGTGACGCTCATTTTTTTGTGTCCATGTCTTTAAAATCAATTCAAGAAGGTTACAGTTTCAAAACAAATATTCAAATTACTTGCACACATTCTCTAGTTAGAGGACCAAGTCAAATTTTTTTGGTTTTAATCTATTTTAAGATAATTTGTATGGAAAAATTGCATGAATGTCAATGTGGAGTAACCAAAAAAAAATGGTACCAAATACTTTATTGTGTTTAAAAAATGTGAAAGTCTCAATAAAACATTGTATCGGCTAGTTTGGCAATGTAGTGTGTAAAAAAACACACATTTTATGAATTGACATTATTTAAAGTTTCTTTTTGCCCTCCAAAACAGAAAAGGCATTAGAACAACACCATGGTGAACAGTTAATGACTGAATTTACATTTTGAGGGGAACTGTCTTAAATATACGTTTCTGATACACCTATTAATAAGTCTGATACAACATGAGAAGATACTCTGAAAGAATCAGATTTTGTATTTTTTTGGATGAACTATTCCTTTAAGGGTCCCTCAGCAGTGGGACAAAGGTGTGTGTATGTGTAGGTGTATGTGTGTGCATGTGTGTGTCATTGACCTACCCTAAAGAGGCAGAACTACCCATATCCCCCTCGACCCTCTCTGACCCTGTAGAAAAGACAAGCGGCTGGCGAGACAACCTGTGTTCAGTGTCCAGCGGGCCGTCCTGCATGAAGCGGGAGCTGAGGATCGCAGCCGTACCAGACGCTGACAAAATACACACCTCCTCGCTGCAAACATACATACAGATAGCACATAATCAGCCAGGAATGACAAAAAGACATTAGAAAGCAACTTTTCACTGACTAAAATACTGACTTTCCTTGACATCTAATGAACAGAAAAACAGGCC